CTCTCCTCTCTCTCCCTCTCTCTCTCTCTCTCCCTCTCTCTCTCTCTCTCTCTGACACACACACACACACACACACACACCCATGCAGGTAGAGCAGTAGCATGTGTGTTGGCATTCCCTGGACACTTGGCCTCTTCCCATGGGCTTTCTCACCCTTCTGTCCCCTTGCAGAGATCACCACTGGCCAGCTGATCAATCCTGATAACCAATCCTTGTAGTTTTTAGTTTTATTTTAAATTATTTACTACTTAACCCACCTCTAACATAATAGTGTAATTTTACCCATTTTTTTCCTTTATACTGAGAATACTTAATATTATGCTTATGAAATTCTTTCATGCTATTAGAGTATATATTATAGTTTTTCCATTCCAATATTGATTAACATTGATTTATTTTCTATTTTGCCTCCAAAAATTAATCATTTTTTACGTGTCTCTAGGGGTCATGGGCACACATATACCTGGCACTAAAAATGTGCATTGTTAGATATGTATGTGTATATCCAGTCTAAGCTAATGATGCCAAAATGTTTTTGTTTTAAATTACTACATTTTTTCTTTTTTTGAGACAGGGTCTCACTATGTAGTTGAGACTGATCTGGAACTCACTATGTAGCCCAGGCTGGTCTCGAACTCACAGCGATCCTCCTGTCTCAGCCTCCTGAGTTCCAGGATTATAGGCATGTGTGATCATGCCTGGCTTTAACTGATTACACTTTTACAGCAGTGTATGTGTATTAACTATCTTTTCTGTTGCCGAGCCTCAATATTCAACAACCACAGCATAGAGAAGGAGAGGTTTAATTTGGCTCACAGATTCAGGGCATGCAGTCCATGGTTATCTGTCTCCAAGGCAGGAATGTCATGGCTGCAGGGTGTGATGGAGCACAGATGTTCTGTACAGGGTGGCCAGAAGTGGAACAGAGTAGCAGCACAAGAGGAAGGGGCCAGGGAGCATAGACGTCCGAGGCCCCACCTCCATGACCCATTCAAACACATGCAGAAATAGCCTCTATCAATCAATCCCAGGGCCAGTTGGTTGATACTAGGAAGCCTAACTATGACAATGGGATTATCACATATGCCAATTCAGTTCTTCAGTATTGTTTGTTAGTTTTTAAATTTTTACCTATTTTCCTAAGAATTTAGCAATATCTAGTTATGGTTTTGATACTCATTTTTTTTATTACACCAGATGGAATTATCTTAGATCTGTTTTTGTGAGGTATCTGTTCAGTTCTCTTTCTTATTTTCTATCAGAACTTTTGTTGTCTTTTCTTTGTTGAGATTCTTATAGATCAGATTATCAGAACCAATTCAGTATGTATGTCTTGAGATAGGCCAGCTGAGAGAGAAAAGGAGGAACATATCCCTGATACCTATCTTCTGTTGGTCAGTGTTTGGTCCATGGGTTTAAATTTTTCATGACCCTCACAACATCTAGTCGGCATTTTTACTTCCAAGACAGGAGCCCAGTTTCTGGTGTCACAACCTCTTAAGAGGTAACGATTGTTCTTATAGGTTATCTCCCCATAGCATTCTGTCAGGTGGTAATCCACAGTGCAAAATGTTGCTCCTTTCTCTAGCATCTATTTTGGAAGGTGCATGAAGTTAGAAGTCAGGTACACCCATCTTTTTCTTATAAATTGGCTGAACCCATCTTGACGAGCTCATTAGTACTTGTTCACTGTGTAGTACTGTTAATACTTTGGTACTGAAACTTCAGTTGTCGAATTTACTCATGGTGCCAGGGCAGAGATACATGGCTTTTGCCCACAGTGGAGTATGTACAACTCCCAACACTTTCTTTTGTGGCACTGGGGAATCAGGGGTATTCTACCATAGAGCAATCTACCTAGTCCTTTAAATTTTTTTTTTTTTTTAAGACAAAGTCTCACTAAGTTGCTGTGCTATGCTCAAACTTACATCCTGCAGCCTCAGCCTCCCTAAGTGCTTGGGGTTGCAGGTGTGTACTGCTGCACCCAACCCCATTTCTTTTGTGTTAACAATGAATTTGGTGAACATGTTGAGCACACGTGTGTTCTCCCCACATATGCCACAGTGGAGTTTGTGGTGTGATTTTGCACCCTGTAAAGTCTGTGCCTGTCCTTCCTGAAATGTTGGCTGCAGGACTTCTGACCAATAGACCTTTTCCAGTGAGGAAAATGTTCCATAGCTGTACAGCCCAGAATTGTAGCACCAGTGACATGCAGCTTTTGAATGCTAGAAACCTGCCTAGTGTGAGTAAGGAGTAGCAGTTTTAGTAATACTTAATTTTAATTTCTATTTAAATAACCGCTGGTACCTACCATGTTTGATGCTGTAGCCGTGGAAAGCCCAGCATTCTTTGGAGGTTGGACACCACTGTGCAGGCTGGATTTGTTTCAGTTTTCCTCCCTCCAGGTAGAAGCTGCAGCATTTCCAGGAGGCTGCAGTGGTGTGGTGTGCTTCCTCCTTAAATATGATTGAACTGCTGTCATACTGCTGGGCACTTATTTGGTTTTCCCCAGGGCACATGAAGACGCATTACCTTCTTTGATGTTGGCTGTGTGGGACTGAGCAGTTCTTATAGTAGCCAAGGACCACTCATGCTTGTTGTGTTGCAGGAGTTGTCTCTAAGGCTCCAGCTGAAGACCTGTTCTCTTTTGGGGAAGCTGTTCTGTTCGTATATGTTCAGGACATGTAATAGCTACATTCATCTTGGGGAATTGGGACATACACTTACTGCATTTTGATCATTTTTACTACCCCTTCCCCTTCCCTTTCCCTTTCATCTACTGATGTTTCCTACCATCTCTCCTTATTTTGCTTGAAGACCTCCTTTCTGTGAGATCTTCTTAACCCAAGACTTGAGTTCTTTGAACCTGTGTTCTCCCACGTGTCCTGGTGCGTTTCCCCTCCAAATGTCCCTGGCACCAGATCCTGCCCTGCCTTTCAAATGTGTGCTGTGCTCCTGTCATGGTGAACACATACCCATTCTCTGAACAGATTTTTTTCATGCCCTTGGTGTTGTATGTAATTATAATTCTGCCTCTGCCTCTACTGCCCTTCTTGTCTTGTTCGCAGAATCTCACCCTTATCCTCTAAAGCAGTTTCTTCCTACTGTTTTCCTTGATTTCTCTAATTGTTCCCTCCTTTGTATTGCCCAAGCATGACCACATGTTTCTTTTCAGCATTTTATGCTGTGGCATGATGTTGTGTGGTAACTGGAAGTTTATCATTAATCTTTTTTCCCTCTTCACAGAGCGCTTGTCTCATAGTGAGTGTCCTGTAAATGTTTGATAAAGCTCAGTTTAAATCATTTACTGCATAGTGATTAGTCCATTGTTAAAAAAATGGGAAGTAGAGTTTTAATTTTAAGTTCCATAGAATAAAAACATAATGAATTTCCAGTTTATCTCACGTGTGTGTCCTGTGGTGCTGTTGAGATCCTGCTGGATTTTGGCCAAGGTGAGGGCTGTGTCATTTTTCTGTTTAGTGTAGAGTCACTGGCTTTCCGCTGAGCTCAGCACCATGAGCTTATTCTGAACCCCCTTCCTTCTTTATCAAATGTATGAAAAGCCTCTTGTGGCTTTTGGGTTTCCCATTTTATGCTTCTACAATGAGCTAGAAAGCATCGGCCTGGCCCCTCGGTGGCTTCTTTGAGAGGGTTGTGCTGTGCGGCCACAAGTGTATGCATGCTGCTCTGTTAAAACTCGGCAGTGAGCCCAGGCAGCACCAGCCGCCTCTCTGTGTTCCACTTAGGATTCAAAAAGAATTTTTCCAAAACGACTTTTTCCTGCAGTTTTTTTGTTGTTAAAAGCTTTTCTGTCTTCCTTTGTCCTCCTTCAGCAAATTGTAATAGATCTAGAGCCCATGAAGTGCTAATCCAACCCTCAATGAACACATTATGGCTTTGACTTGTGAAGCACATTTTAGATGTTATAGCTCCCATTATTAGATTAAAATATAGTGTTTAGCTATAAGATGCCATGTTTTGCACATTAATAGTAGATATAATAACCACATTAAATTATAACTCACAAATGAGAGTTGACTTTATGTGTAATCTGCGTAATGCTCGACTTTCATTACTTCAGTTGTGAAAATAATGATTTTTATTTATATATCCAAGCAATATAAAGATGTAATTGTTTTGCTGTACCATTTGCATTAGTATAAGTGGATACTACAGATTTGAAGATAATGCTTTTATCTCTCTGAACTTGGTGCTTGCTTATAAATAGAACAAAATGCAGACCTTGTGAATAACTATAAAATTACAGATTTCCAGTTGCTTATTAATGTTGGTTATTATGCCTTTTAGATGGAACAGAATTCTACCACTTAGAGTATATTAACATTTTGTTTAGCTAGTATTAGTTATATTACTTAGCCAATGGTATTTTCCCCAGAT